GTTAAGGTGCAGGTTAAGAGACTAAACCAGTGACATTCCATTAAAGTTTAAGATGAAAGACAATCTGAATTATTCCACACCCATTTGCACTGCATAAAAGCACCTCTATTTTCCTATACTTTTCACTTCCAATATTTGGCTGAATATTTTCCTCAGGTCTAGATAGCCATCTTGTGAATTGCCTGCCAAAAGCAAAAAAAATGGATGAAGCAAATTCATTCCTGGCACAGCACCACTGAACTCCGTCTTGTATGTACTTTTGGTACTTAAGTTGTTGCACACATAATTATTTAATAATGATAAAGATGGAACCTTAAGATTTGCCACTACTCATTTTTTGTTCCCTCCTCTTCTGGTACTTCCTCTAGCCAGGAGTATTAGCCATTTGGAAGTTGTTTAATTCCAGTTGCAGAGATAATGTGAGATTCATTTTTTGTTTACTTTTTCATCCTGTGTTAAATCTGGCCACTTATGATGCTAGCTTTGTTGCATATATTGCATCTATTTTTTATGCATTTCAGTTGTGAAAATAAAGTTTGAGTAATAGGTAGCAATTTTAGTGATACTTAACTTTGGAAGTCACTTTGATTTCTGACATTTCTGAGTCTAACTGTTAGGACAGGATATAGAATCCATCTAGTTAATCTTTTAAACTGTGCACTAAATTGCTTATCATTGCAATTTTAAGCAAACACTGAACTAAATAAATACTAACAAATGAATTTGTTCTGTTTTCCAGGCTTCTTGGATAACCTGAAGCCTCTGCTGGTAGATCAAGATAGTACTGTTCGACAAAAAACAACAGAAATCCTATATATTATGGCTAATCATAATGTTGGAAGGTAGGTCTAATTTCAAAGTTTACTGCATGGCACTGGGGAGCTGATATGTAGTGGAAATCAGTGAGGCAGTTCAGCAGCAGAATTTCCAACTTTCAGCCAGACTACTATAACATGCTGATACATAACAGATCTTCAATGAAATTATTATACCTTGCTGAGATTTGTGAGTTTTATTATGCTTTAAATAAATCTCTCCTAAATCTAGCTCTCTGTTTGTAGATATGGTTTTATAGAAAATGAAGTCATTCCTGCTCTGGCCCAGCTCTTGAATGATCCAGTACCTATCTGTCGGAAAAACATGCACCGGGCATTGGAAATGATGGCAGAATTGCCAGCAGGTAAGACTTTGTTTTTAATTGAAATTTGTCTCAGAAGACTTATGAGGTACTTTGACTTTGCAAGTGAGATGCCACTTCATTTAAATATGCATTTCATTGATTAAATACTCAGTAGGCCAAAACAGATATCTGAATAAACTTTATTCCCAAAATAATTTACAGCTCTATTTCAGTTTCCTTAAAAAGTCCATTTATAAGTAGTAATTTTTTCTTGCTGATTTTAAGCTAGTGTCTTGTTCTGATAAGTTATGATTTGGTTATCCTCGAGAACATTAAAAGGTATGTCTTGTTGCTTTTGAGGGGAAGAATTACGTTGCATGAAACTGTTATTGCACTAGTCACACTCTTAAAAATTGTTAGTGCATTTTATAATAGCAGTGTGAATTCTTACTTAAAAAGGTAAAGGTGCAGATAGGTCTTTTTATTGTGATAGTAGTAGATGAGTATTGCTTTTGGGGCCCCATCCTGCAAATGCTTACTCATAAAGTTAACCCCATTGATTTAATGGAGATGATTTGCATAAGGGCAGTTCACTTGCATAATAAGGGGCAAGATTGAATCCTTGAATTTGGATTTCAGAAACTGTGGTGCTGAATTTAAGTTTCCTTATTTTTTCTGTGACAGTGTCTCCTCAGGAGGTTTAAAAGCCCCTCACACAAGGGAGCCTGATTTTAGCAACATGTAAGGATTGTACTGGAAACCCAAGGGACGTGGGCCAAATTTCTCTGGTAAAGGAGCATCAAGATCCTATATAAATTAGGCCCATGCTTCTCCGTACCACCTTTACAGCTCTGACATAAGGGACAAATCAGTGGCAGAACAGGCATGCTTATAGTGTCAAGCACTACAGAGGTTCTGTGCTATTTTATATAGGATCTAAACCAGTGGCTCTCAATCTTTTTTGTACCAAGACCCATTTGTAAACTTTGATGGTCAGTCCCAACCCAGTAAACAGTTTAAGTAGCTAGCCTCCTGCCAGTCTGCAAGGTGAAACCCACATTTTCCCACATTTTTCTCGTTTAAAAGGAGAAAATCTGATTTTCCACATTTTCCTGTGATTTTCTTGACCCTTTCACTTTTGAGTTGCAACACACAGGTTGAGAAACACTGATCTAGACTGCTGTTTTCTTTTTTTTAAGACTTTCCACCATAAATATTTGGCCTTAGCTTTTGGTTCTTTTGTCTCCAATTGTTAATACCACTCATTTCTGTATGAAAGACTTAACAAATATAATGGTATCAGTAGAAAGTGTCCATTGTATCCATTGTATTAAGACAAATTTGGGTGGAAGACTTCTACCATTTTAGTAGTGTTTAAAAGGCACAGAGTGAATGTTTAAAAAAGAACAACTACTGAGCAAGCATGCTTGAATTATAGAAAAGACTTTTACGTGAGTGTGAAGTCCAAAGTGAATAAATAATTAGGGCTGTATGAAGCTTCGGGTGCCGATTCAATTTGGAGGAGATTTGGCCTGCTTTGGCGGCTAAATCTGTGAATCTGAATCAAATCAGGAGACCAGTAAAAAGGTCCGAATCGATTCGAAGCTTTCTGAATCGATTTGGAAAAGACTTGGAGAGCTTCGGAGATTTGGGCAGTTTCCGTTTGCTGCCACAGGGAGCTGGACCCAGATTCTATGCCAGTAAGTAGGGGCCAAGGGGGGTTGGAGGAGGGGACCATGGGGTACCCCTGCCAGGCCCCATCCCCTGTCTGTTCCCCCAACCCCTCTGAGTGCCCCCTGCCTGCTCTCCAAGGCTCCTCCATGACTGCCCCGCCCAGCCCCAGCTCCTGATTCTTTAAAAAAAAAAAAAAAAAAAAAAAA